TTGCCTGCGCATAAAATAGTTATTTTCCTAACAAGTGCGCAAAGTGTTACTTTTCCGCACGCAAACACAGTTATACGAACGACGCGAAGCGAAGGTGTAGAAAGCCAAATTAATTTTAATTTGGCTTTCTACACCAAACATGCCTTTGTTCTGTAACTCTGTCTCCACTATACGAACCTGACGAGACCGACTCTGATGATGGCCCTTCACTAGGCCGAAAGCGCTCGGTTAATACTTAATAAAGAAATTTACACCTTAACACTAAATCTGCCTTTTCTTAAACTTAGTTAGTTTGGGTTAGTTTTTAGTTTCCACATCATAATCAATGAGGCATTTAAATTTTTTTTCCGATCCTACCCAAACAATTGAAAATACCACATTGAGAACCTACTCGGATCGACAAAACCACATTTTATTATATTTCAAATTAAAATTACCTTTTGTAGCTATAAAATATTTACCATTGGCTTCAAGCTTACTGGGTTCCAATATAACATTCTCCCTACTATATTTTCCGTTTTCAATTATTTGTTTATCAAATAACGATTTAACATAACCCTTTTTACTACGAGCGTGCAGAAAAGCGTACTTTTCCGCACGCATTTTAGGTCATGAAAGTACCACTTTTCCGCACTAGTGTTTTTCCGCTATTTTTCCGCACTGAGTGCGGTAATTTCCCTTGAATAGCAAGTACCGCCTACATAGCAGCTTGAGTCATGATAGATATTTCTATCGAACCTTAACGATGAGAAAACGTTTTCGTAAAAATCACAGGCAATTTAAATTCTTCATCCAAATAGATTTTTATTGATGTTTGTTTTTTATTTTATAGTGTGTTTATTTTAGTGGCATGCAGACGTAATAATTAAAAATTGATGAAAAATTTTCTTGCCTCGACTGGTGTAACATTTGAAATGTCACAAGAACATATTTAATTGTTCTTAATTAATTTCATATATTTTGGACTCATTTAAGTCTAAGAGCTCGCACGTTCCTACTCCTTATGCCTTTACCTGCTCTAAATTTAAAATACTATCTCGTACACTTGGCGACATCTATGATTCCTCTGACTAGTTTCCTGACCTAATACCGAACATTATGTTATCAAAAGGTGGTTTCGGTCTGCTCACTCCGTACACTTCGAGTGACTCCATTCGCACTCCAGCTGTTCGGGTACTGCTTTTTACCATATTAGGGTTAGTTTTATTCACTCCAATCCAACTCCGAACCTAACTAGGGTTATTTTTTTGAAAACTGGTAGCGCCGTCATTTTTATCATTCCGACAGGCTGGACAAAGGAAGAAAGACAGAACCACAGGGGTACTTTGAACTTTTCTTTTCGATTTTATAGTTAGACTGAAAAGGTCGTCTTTGGAAAATCCAAAAACTTTGGTTTTCATTCTTGGCCATCGAGCCCAAAATTATGTAAATTTAACTAGACAGAGTAGTGAGTTATTATGTCAGCTGGAACATTTCCTGAAAAATCAATAGATTGTTTGTGTAAATTTTTGAAAGTGACGTTAATTGTCGGCCGTTCAGGTATGTGAATCCCATTTCTCTTTGATAAATGAGTCCTTATATTTCTTCATTCCGTTCAGGCAATTTGGAAGAGTATTAAAAATCCACGCCTACACTTCTGGGTGAAAATTTGACAAGTTTGAGACCATGCTGTACTGCATTTCCAAAGCAAGTCTGGGCCCCCTCTACAAGGAATGTTGTGTCCAGTAAGAGATTGATCCCCGAGCATTGGAAGATTGCCTTCCGTCAGTTTGGTGCTTCTGGATCTCAACTTTATGAAAATTTCCAAGGATTTCGTCCAGGCTTGTATAATTACTTACCTATGGGTCCCGTTTATGTGCCTTATTAATTACAGTTTCTTGATATTATCTCTTTTCTACCGCTCCCTATCGATTATCTTTATTAGCTAGTTAATACCTTTGTGAATATTAATTACTGTTAATTATTATTACTTTTTTCTTTACTGCCCACTATTGATTAGCTTGATTAGCTAATTCATATCTTTGTAAATATTAATTACCGACTTATTTGCCGTATTGTAGTATTTGGCTAAAATAGCTAACTACAGTTTAATGTAATTTTTTATTGATTAATTAATCATTATCGTAACGTATTATCGTTTTCGTTATATTTATCTAGTATCCAATAATTATGGATCATTATAATTATTACAAATTTATTTCTTTTATATCGAATACCGATCGATATAATATTAATGAACTTTTAGAGGTTAATTTAACCTTCAATTTTAAATCAATAAGGTGGTAATTCTGCAAGGTAAGCCAATGTAAAATCTTTAGGTAGTTGAATTTGAGTTTCATGGTTACATATTTTGAATATTAATTACAGGTAAGACGGTAGAGCTCTCCGCGATACTTTTGATCATAGGTTTTGGCATTTATAACTCCCTAGGGATTACTTATTACCTTTATGCATTTATAAATTTGATTTCATTGATTTGATTGACTTTAGTAAAAAATTGAACGTTAATGATATTGTGACTCCATCATTTATACTTAGGTAAATTTTATCATGGGTATCTATTGATTGTTTTTAAATTTCAATCTTATTATACTTATATTAAGTTTTGCTTTTAGAAAGCTGCTTAATGATTTTTTTAAAAAAAGACTTGAATACTAGACAATAATTTTCTTTAAATCAAAAAAAAAAAAAAGTTCGCCGTCTTGTCACAAATTTTATTAATGACATATAATTAATAAATAATTGTGTTTAGAATTCCAAAGCTTGTGTTTTTATTGAATGGGTTGAATGTCAGATACTTATTGGATTTTGGATTTATTTTACCTTTTCAGATTTTTTTGAATTTATCTTTTTAAACAATAACTAATTAATGGAATAGTGCCTAGTTTGGCTATTCCTTGGTAATCAAAATTATTTATACAAACTAGTGGCGCCCTCTTTCTACTGAAGCAACACCAAGGACCAGCCCAAGCTAAACAACCACTGAGCAATAGTTGAGCACAAATTATGAACATTCTTTTGTTTCGACAAAAGAGCGTTACACTGGGATTTGAACCCATGACTCTCGCATTTCCAGTGCAATGCTCTAACCAACTGGGCTACCAAGAATTTTTAATTATTACGTCTGCGTGCCACTAGAATAAACACACTATAAATTATATGACAGACGATAAAAACTTTTAAAAAATTGTAAAATATTTGGTTTGTTTTTTATATTTGTCAGTTTTCTATGAATGAAGTTGTTGAATTTGCATTAAAGGAGCACTGTTGTCAAACAACAAAATCTTGTAAACTCTGCTGGAGGCACAAAAACAAATTCTTCCTGAATAAGATCTAATAAGAAATAATTCAAACCCATACACTTCTCAGGATTTGTTTCATGTATTAATTTATCATCTTCATCAAAAAATTTTAAAAACACTTATGGATTTTTCTAATATCAACAATAGTAGCACATGCTAAGGAAAAATTGCGCATTTCCCATGTGATTGATAAAAAAAAGACTTTTGCAGTTTCGTAGTCGTTATATGAAAAATGTCTTAAAAATTTTTCGAGCAAAATCACTTATTAGGTACTATTTCTGGTTCCAGTAAAAGTTCCTTTGAAAGCTCATTTTAAAAATGATGAATCAAATACAATGCGGAACTTTTAATTTCTTGACATATTAGGCCCTCAACTACAATGTTCGAAACGTAACGTTTTTCATGTTCTTTCAAGTCCTTGTAATGCAAAATTTTTGAGCAGGCTTCAAAGCGATTAACACAAGGAAACACCAAGTTTTTAGCCAAAATTTCATAGGAAGAAACCGTACAATTATCGTCAATACTGGAATAACGACCGCACTTAATTTCATCGCTAAAACAGTTTTTGGTAGGTGGAAATGATAAGTTTTATTCGCAATTGGAACGCACTTGTTGGTTTTGGATACCTTCGGGTAAAGCGTAAGCCATTTTGCTTAAAGATTTAGTTGAAACTGATTTAGCACTAATAGGTACCTAATACTTTTGATATAAGGAACTCATAACAAAAAGATTAGAATAGAAAAATACCGATGTTGGCCGATGGCCACGCTAAGAATCACCACACTCAAGAATCATATAAAGTTATTCAGATACAGAATATAGGTACCTGCAAATGTTTCTCCGAATTCTTAATAAAAATAATACTTCTGCTCTTTTTTGCTTTTATCATTGATTCGAAAGAATCTCTAGGGTGCCTTCTGTTATTCTTGTTGAGATAAATTTCCAAGAAATTGAGGCACTTATTTTAGATTTTATCTATGTACGGCGTTATCTAGAGTTAGGTATGTAATCTAAATAAATAAGTTGTTCTTAGGTAGATATCTATTTAAATGACAGGAAATATTTTTTACTCAAGCTCATTTCTTTTCTTATTCATCATATTCGAATCATGGCCTTTTAAAGAAAATCTAAATTTTCTTATCCTAGATCACTCTGTATATTTACAGCAAATATCGAATTGGTTTAATTTTGAAATTTCTTCACCTGAAAAACATTAAGAAAACCAACTAAAAAAAGTTTCGAATTCGAAACCTTCTAGTTCGGCGCACTTTTAATATTCTACCCGGAAAATTTAAATTGATGCAAAAGTTTAATTAAAACTAAGATTAAAATTGCACGGCTCGAGTATTTGCATTCTAAAATTTATTTTGATACTGGGGAATTCGTAGAGATGTTTCATTTGAATTTTAAATTTGTTATGCTCGAAATACGACGAATGGAGGAAATATTTTATAATTCCAATGAAAAAAAAAATCAAAATGTAGATTCTCTTTTAGGAATAAATAATTGAGGTGGGAGCAAAAAAAAACATTGATAGACCTGAAAAGAGATGGTGAAGAAAATTGTTAGAAAGACAGGCAAAAATGATACTAAGTTTTCAATTAAAAACACGTGAATTTTTTCACAAACCGATAATAGCCGACAAGATAAACTACTAAATCACAAAATGTTCCAGGTCAATAAATCTCGCTTACCCACCTGTTTTAATCACCACCAGAACCCAACACCATCCCGCAAAGTACTTCATATTCCAGCTGGAATCCCCACCATGTCTTATATCACGTTCAAAATCGCGAACTGCATCCCGGTTTTCGGTTCGTGTGCGTCTGGAGGCCTGCTGACGTCACGGGACTCGCAGACCGACTGGATCCTGCCGCGAGAAGGAAGAAACGACCATGGAGCAGGAGTAAGGGCGCAGGGCAGGACTCTCCGTCAGAGGGTGGCTTCTTTTTGTTTTTTGCATATTTTCACTTTGTTTTTTCAAAAAAAAAGGGTTGCAAGCGTAATGACCAATTTGTGATGAGCACTTTTTTTAATTATAGCGTGGCCGGCTAAAATTGTAATCAGAATTCAATTTTACGGATTTGATGATTTATTAGTTTGTGGAATTTTTCATGCTACATGATAACCGATCGTTTGAAGAATATTGGTTGTGACTATAAGGTAAATTTGATTTTATATATTAGGGGATACATTTCTCATACAAATGGCTCTTTGGTATTTGGGAGAAAAGAAGAAGAGTTGAGATTATGTTTATATTTACTCCATTAATTAGTTAGATGGTAAATAGCGAGCGGTTCTATTGATGGTCTTTATCACCTACATGTAATCACAATTTTTCCTTATTTTCACTATATAATTCCAATAAAATAAATCGTTTGGTTACTTAAAGCACTCACATAATGTAGTTTTTTCAGCATTTTAAATTTTATTCCAACTTCTCGAATCGCGACCGTTAACTGATAATATTCGTAACTTCTTTACTTCTTTACTCAATTACTTTACTATTGACTGTAAAATATAGACTGTAGACTATCTTTCTACTCTACTTGATTGTAATTTGCTTAAATAATAATAGTTTTAGTTCTTCCATTCGATCATAATGAAACCGCATGATTTCGATACGATGAACTAAATTCTTCTCCCACTATTTCTAAGAAATATAATTATTTGTTCGACCGACGATGTCGCAATTTTCTTCATTATTGGGGTCAACAGACCCCAGAGATTTTTTTGAGATGAATCTGTCACTTGGTCCCCACAATTTATTTACTTGCTTTAAATGTCTGTTCAATGTCTAATTATTAATAGGCTCATTCTTCAGGTTTAGAAAACTTGCAATGTCACAAATGTGCTTATTATTTGAGAGTAGGGAATATATTTTTGAGAGTTTTTATAGCTTACGGCGTTCTTGTTCGTATGTGGTAATTTAGTTTAGTTTCAGACAATCTGTAGTATTGATGGTTTGAGACTAAACTGGCACATCACAGTAGAAAAATCACGTTTTTTATTTATAATTAAAGTATATTGATTATTGTAAATAAATGTAAATAGAAAGTTAGTTGCCCAAACAAGTCGAAAATCGAGAAAAAAAATATATATTTCGTTTTAGAACGTCTTCCTTCGTTGTCCGACACCTAATTTTCATTTTTTGATAAGAGATTTCTTTCACTCGTGGATTTTCGTATGGTCTTTTGCCATTCCAGTTTGGGTCTTCCCTGTTTTCTTCTACCTGTTGGTTGCCAGTACAGCATTTTTCTGAGCCACCTGGTATTTGGCATTTGTTCTACGTGTCCGTACCAGGTAAGTTGTTTCGTTCCAATGTCCTGAACTATCGTGCTTTCAAATTCCCATTTATTGTTTTATATTGTCGTTCCTTATTCTCTCTCATCGGATTTTTTCAGATGTCTCATCTACTTCTCCATATACTTCAATATGTCTTGGAGAATCTTATATTCCGGTCTACTTTCTTGTAATAGACCCTAGTAGTGTTCTAACCATTTGCTCTGGTTTGATTACCTGGATATTAGCTCTGTCCTTTCCTGTGTTTTTGACATTTGATATAAATCTCCATACCTCTGAGCATTTCCTTTCTCCTATGTAGGTGTTAATTTCTTCACATTTCTTATCCCGTAACTCGTTCTTAGCTATAGTGATGCACGTTCTTTTTGTGTCTTTATTAACTTCAAGGTCTTGATCATTTTTTGTTGTTAGCCATTTCAGATATTTTTATTTCTTTTCTTGGACTAATAGCTCTATCTTCTCGTTCCACCAGTATTTCTTGTTGGTATTTTTTCCTTCGGTCCTATTGCTTCTTGGGTGGCTTCTTTTAGACTCCATATAAATTTCTCATGGAGTTTATTGAAGGTACATTCTTCAGGGTTCAATATTTTGCTGTCGAATCGCCTCTGATATAGAAATACAATGCGTTCGTCTCTAAAACTGTCAAAATTGTATTTTGTTGTATCCACTGTGTCCGTGACTATGGGTACATTTAGGCGGTCCCAGCAGCTAAGCTCAGCCACTCAGCAGGAACTTTATTCTCGAAACAGAGGAGCAGCGTTCTCATTGGAACGAAAGTTCTGTCTTTGTCGTCCGGCATAACACTGACAATGACAGAGCAATCGTTCTTGGAGAATAAAAGCCCTGCTGAGTGGCTGAGCTTAGGCGATTTCGGCAAGCTTTGGTTGGTATATCATTTGGTTAACCAATTGGTACCTGCAACGTCATAGTAATGACGTAAGATACCATTTTGTTCTGAATTCGTTTGGTAGGTCATGAGAGAGGGGAAGAGACGAGCCTTAACCTAACTTTGTGTTATTCTTCTAGTTTCGGGAGCGACTAGATACTGACTGCACTGACTAAAATCTATAATCACTAATCAGCTCTGTCTAGACAGTACCTTTGAGTAACCTATTGGCTAACTCAGCGTTTTCTGTAAATTTAAAGCTTATTCCATAATCCATTCAGCAAAAAGTTACCCCATATATATCTGTCGTTCAAAGCCATTTTTCAAATGATCGTCAAATATTATTTGGCAGTCAAAACATACGAGAAAACAGAAAGATGACGGCGAAAAAACAAACATATTTGTTATTATTCCAATTTTAATGAACTTCCATTTATTTACATTTCCCAGAGCAGGACAAAATGAAAATAGACGTAGATAGCACTATATCAAATAGAAGAACCGTACTGCTGACCACGGTATCCTATTTGACAGACCAAAAAGGATACCAAAGTTACGGTGACGACATCATTTGCGTATCCGAAATTGGTTGGTATGCATTTAACAGACCAAATAGGGTACCAAACCATGTACCAAAGCTTCCCGAAATCGCCTCTTGGTCGCTGGGACCGCCTGAATGTACCCTATGGCATTGCAGCTTTATTTTGGCTCTCACTAAAAAATGATCTGACCTGCAAATTATTCCTTTTAATACTCTCACGTCGTTTATATCAATGCTTGTTTCTAGTTTGCTTATCACAAAGTCAATAACAGCTTTTAAATTACGGGTATTCTGTATCCATGTGTAGCGGTGAATATCTTTGTGTTTGAAAAATCTGTTGTCCATTCTGAGATTGTGGGTCTCACAGAAATGTATGAGCCTTTGGCCATTATCATTGATTATTTCTTCTCCAAATGGTCCTACAACTGGGCTATTGTTCGTCCTTCCTGTTCTTCCATTGAAATCCCCTATCATTATGATTTCTCTATTTCTTCCAATATATCTACTAGGATTTCATCCAATTTGTCAATGAACTCCTGCTTAATGGTGATGTTATAGCCATGTAGTTTCAAGTTGACCAATAGGATATTTTCGTCCACAGCTTGTAACGCTCTTTTGTCGAAACAAAAGAATGCTCATAATAGTGCTCGTCTATGCTCAGTGGTTGTTTAGCTTGGGGTGGTCCTTGGTGTTGGTACAGTGAAGAAAGGGCGCCACTAGTTAGTATAAAATTATTTTTATTACCAAAGAATAGCCAAACTAGACACTATTCGAATAATTAGTTATTCATTAAAAAGATAAATGCAAAAATCTGAAAAGGTAAAATAAATCCAATACCTATCTGACATTTAACCCATTCAATAAAAAACACAAGTTGTGGAATTCTAAAAACAATAATTTATTAACCAAAAGTCGAACTTGTTGTTCAATTGTTCAAAGGAAAATATTGTTCAGTATCCAAATTTTTTTTTAAAAAAGTTAAGCAGCTTTCCAAAAGCAAAACTTAATTTAAATAGGCTTATAAAAAGATTGAAATTTAAAAACAATTAGGTAAATAGATATCTACGATGAAGATTACCTAAGTATAAATATTGAAGTGAAAATATAATTAATTTCATTTAATTTTTGACAAATCAATAGAAAACAATTTAATCAATGCAGAAAGGTAATGAATAATCCCTAGGCAGTTATAAATATCAAAAACCTGCTAAATGAAATCAAGGGTTCACGGTTTCCGGAAGAGTTCTCACCTTCTTACCTTCAAAGTTCAAAATAGGTAACCATAAAACTTAAATTTGACTACCTGAAGATTTTACATTAGTTTACCTTGTAAAACTACCACATTATTGATTTGAAATTAAAAGTTAAATCAATGTTTTAAAGGCTAATGAACTCACAATATATTATATCGATCAGTACTCGATATAAAGAAAATAAATTTATAATAATCACAATAATGCATACCTAGTAGATAATAAACAATTATTGAGAAAACGGTAATAAAAGTCAATAGCTGACTCTGATAATAATTAATTAATTAACTTAATATTTGTATTTAAAACAGTAGACTAACTGTTCTAGCTACACACTACTATACGGTAAACAAATTAAGTCGGTAATTGAATTTACAAAGATATTAATTAGCTAATAAAGCTAAACGATAGGGGGCGATAAAGAAAAAGTAAGTTACGGTAATTAATATTTACAAAGATATTAATTAGCTAATAAAGCTAATCGATAGGGGGCGATAAAGAAAAGGTAAGTTACGGTAATTAATATGGCACCTTTAAGAGACCGATAGGTAAATAATTATACAAGCCTGGACGGAATTCTTGTAAAGCCTCGGAAGTTTTCACAAACGTGAGATTTGGAAGTACCAAACTGGCTGGAGACAATCAAATAATGGTTGGGGATCAACTTCTTACAGGACACCAACCTTCCTTATTCCCGGTTCTAAATGAACGAGACATAGTTTATAGAAATTAAGAAAACGGTATTTGTAAATAAGAAACGATGACAATGAAAAAAGCGTTACAAATGAAAAACTTATGAGAAGTGATTCGGAAAAAAAAAGCGAAACGATGAAAATGGAAAAAACAAACAAATACGTTGAAGCTCGATAAACAATTACAAAG